AAGTCACCATCCTCTGCATTCCAAATCTTGCAGTCGACATTGACAGTTGAGGCAGAGCAATTCAGTCTAGACTTGAGAGAGGTGTCGTTGTGGTGGTGGGTTCACTGGCGAACGAGCTAGGTTCTAGTTGTAGCGATGTCGGTGTGATGAGGGTGTCCATGACGCACATCATGGCATCTTATCGCCTTCAAGCGACTTAGCCAGCGAAGATGCATATGAATTCAACATGGCGCGCAAATCGCCCGTTGCTGCAAACCAGACTCCACGCTTCGAAAAAGTAGGCTGTTAAAGTGAGGAAGCCAGAATTTCCGCCAGAAATGGGCTTGCACACGGTCTACGCCGCAGTCCTGTGAAGTTACAGGGTTCCCAATGGTTCCCCGAGTTTCTCTGCGCTCCCAGGTCCTTGGCTTGGGTCACTGCCTCGTGGGGAGGTATGTTTGGTTCTGAGACGCTGGCGACATGGCTTTCGAGAATCCTGGGATCATGGTGGTGGCGAACCACAGAACGACAGCGAGCAGATTAAGCTAAAGTCTAGAGAAATTCAGGGGTAGATGACGAGTGGAGAGTTGGGTATCCGAAGTGTCGTCCTATAACTTCCCCGGTATTGACATGCATCTGGTGTTCTTTTGGATGCCGCTAATCTGGCTTTGATCTGCAGTCTTTACTTCTATGAGCTGGAAGATCTTCAGGCATCGGGTCTTCCATACTTAGTTTCCTGCAAATTCCTCAGTTCTTTCTCGACGAACTCGTTTGCGAAATCTTCCTGCCTTGCCAGCAAGAACCCAAACTTATGTTTTTGATGGGAAAACGATCAAGGGAAGAAGAAGCGACCTACTGAGATAAGCAAGTCTGCAGGTGTTTATTTATGGTAGTCCTTGTGTGCGTACTTGGCTGATCTTAGACCCACAAGACATTGCCATGCCTCCCGCGTGCAGTCTCACAGGCCTTAACAGTCCTGGAAACAGGCTGAACGTCACGGCGGTTTTGCGTTCGGAGGGTCTTTTAATTAGCCCCCTGACGCACGCTTTTGTCTCCAATTGCTTTAAATTCACTCCACGAAATCTGTGGGTGAATGAGGTGCTTGAAGCACACATTGTCTCGCAATTCTGCACGTTTTCACGTGGGAACCGCTGGACTCTCGAAACAACATCCGAGGCCGGCAGAGCCCATCGACACCAAACTTTGCGCCCTATGGTCTACATATCCGGGTGTATGGTACCGGGCAAGGCAGCCGAACAAACACGCTCGTTGTGCAGAGGCGCATTGGGCTTAAAAGGTGCAACGTCTGCCTCATGCCTCATAGACAGGCATGATGAACTCATGCTGCCACTGCGCACTCCGTTAAGAGCTAGCTTTTCGATGCGCCAGGGGCCAGTGCTCCCCCGGCGGCCCGACTCTTCCCCTGTCCATCAGCCCAAAGATAGTGTCAGTGCCTCAAAGCCGCCGTCGGAGGCTTCGAGCCCTGGTCAATCGCGCTGCCCGTGTTTCGGAGGCCCTGGCCTCTTGCGGTGGGGACAGGGCCGCGTAGAGCTAAATTCGAATTTGAATCAATGGTTTGGATGATTAAGGGGTATACGGTTGGAGGGGATTCCAGGAGAATTAACCTCTCGCCGTCAGCAGTTTTGCTGTAGATTACTTCTGTCTTACCGCACAGCACAGTCTGCCCACTGATTCTACCGATGTTCCTGGTTTTTCTAACCAGCTCTTGTGTTCAGTTTTTTCTAGTTGGATCCTCCGGTCGGAGTTGCTAAGCTGCTAGAGTCGCTCTTAGTCTAACACAAGCATGCCGGAGGCAGGATCATAGAGTATGAGGGGTTTAGGGTTGAGGGTTTAGGGTCCCTAAACCCTAAGCCCAGCAGGATACATAGAGTATCTGAGCAGACCTTTCGTTCCACGATAGAGCACTCATCAGGCCATTGTTCCCGATGCAGAATCACATCATCCAGGCCGGTGCTTGCTGGCTCTGACTCTGCTACAAGTACGAATGGGCCGCGAATGCGAGAGCTCGACAGGAGTGTGAGGTCGACAGATCGGAACGTCTGCTTCTGAGGTGACTTCACCGACACTCACCAAGGAGCGGTGTGAGTTCTTGCCCCACTAATTTGGCGAGATACTGCCGCTCAAAGCACTCCGTGAGCCATAAGGAACCTCAGCCCCAAAGTGCTTGAACCCCACAGTATCCTCCTAAGACGAAGCTCCACCTCCTTAATTACAGAAAGCCTCAGACGCCCCTTCCTTAGACAGAAAAACAAAGCACAACTACCATCCCGGAGCATCGAATCCAGCACGTGCTCTGTTGGCTTGGGGGTTATCACTTGTTCGAACTCCAACACCCGCACCAAAGTATTGCCGAACCCTCGAGACGAAGCCCATGAAGCCCCCCCCCCACTTTCAAAGCCAAGTCCAAGCACGAAGAAATCCGAGCCTCAACCCCAAGCCAGGGCCAGCGTTGTCTTGAGGAGCTTATACGAGCTTTTGAGAAGCGACCGGGACAGCCGGGCCCTTAGACGTGATGCCAACTTGCGGGTGTTTGGGGGTTTCAGGGCCTACGCTTTAAGGTGGTAGGCCGTAAGCTTTTTGTTTTCTGAGCGCTGGGTTATTGTTTAGGGTTTCAGGGTGCCTGTGACACGGCTCTAGTGCTCCAGGGCTTAGCGCCTATAGGGGGTTGCAGGCTTGCTCTTTATGCTCTTAGCCTGTTGTTCAGGTCGAAAAAGATTTTTGATTGGTGCTGGTGCCAGGATTTAGAGCATTGCAGGGCTTACAGATCAGGTTGAGGAAGTTTCTGGCTGGCGAACGGCTTTGGAGGGCTCGGCGAAGTCAGCGGATTTGGGTTTGGCTGAACTGGGCCAACGGCCCATGGGCGGATATTGTTGGAGAATCGCTTGGGGCTCTGTCTGCCTGCTTGGTTCGGACGTAGAAGGCTTGAAAGATAGGCTCATCTAGTGCGACCTGATGCCAGTGACTGTTAGTCGAATCATCAATTTCCTTGAAGCTCGATGTGGTTCCACTCGCACGAGGAACTACGTCAGCCTCTTTCTGCATAAGCAGGCTTGGTGCTCGAAGTTGTCAGGGTAGTTGGGGGTGCATCGCTTTAGCTTCGGACTGCCGTGTTCACGGATGTAGCTTCTGATGACCTCGGACGGCTTGTGATAGAGGCAAGGATGCTAGGACCACAGGAGGTGAGAGAAGGCAACCCCCTAGAATCCAAGAGTGACTTCTTCGGAAGACCTTCTTCGGCCTGTGTCCCGCAGTGGTGGCGTTTCCTGATTACAGCCTGCATGACCTCATCAGACATCCCCTGCCTATGCTACATGCTACATCTCAGATGCATGTAAATACACGACACATCTGGTGGAAGATCCTTAGACCTTGGAATGTAGATAAAGGGCAAGAGGGAGAAAGGTACAAGCGAAGGCGCACTTGACCTTCTGTGCAAGATCTTAGCAATGTAGATACAGGCTAAGAGTCTAACAGGCTAAGAGGGAGAAGCATACAAGGATCCGACTCATGCTGTAGGTTCGTATGTTTTCTAGGATCGGGAGGAACCTCCTGCTTGAGCTAGGTGCCGCCCGCTTTTGAGATGCCGGAGAAGCGGGAAGACGGTGAAGAGGCGAACCGATTCATGCAATGCAGTAGTAGTAGCAGAGACCTTGACCCTGCATTCATCTGTGAATGGAGTGGGTTTAGGGTTTAGGGTGTTGAAAGTACGTAAGGTTGGAAAGTTGATACCTGCTCGAAGATGGTGTTTGGAAAGCAGGCCATATGCCACTACACCGAGCCCCTAACCTCCACGCACGCATAAGGATCCCACAAAGAGGGTTTCTGCAACCCCCGCATAGCCCCAAAGAAAGGTCGGGTCCGTGTCTCGAGGAGTGTTTTCGGGCACCTACCATCTGCAGTTGTTCTGTTGTCCTGAAAATGCCGGGTAAGTACACGGGCGACTCATGGGCGCCCGGACGGAGTGAGTTCAAGATTGCTGTGACATGATCACCCGACATGCATCTTGCACACTCTCAGCGAATCCACGGATTCGCGGGACAGGCTGGGGGGCCAAAGCCACGGCTGTAGATCCACATCAGCACAGATAGGGATCACACACGGGAGGTGGAGATGCATAAGTTCCTATCCTGAACAAGACCCTAAACCCAAGCCCCTTGAGACTTGCGGCCTAACCAACAAAGAATCGAACCTTTCCGACTCCCATCTTGGGCTTTGCAGGCGGGCGAAGCGGCGGAAGGGCAAGTCCCGCAGGTCCAAGCGACCGCAGAGTTGGAGGATTCCAAGAAGCGGCCGCACCTTGTTTCGGGGTTCGGGCTTAACCCCCTGAAATTAAAGCGTTTAAAGGCTTCTACCGGGCCTTGCTGCAGGATTTGGGGCTTGATTGTGCTTGTTTGGCAGGGTGAAGGGGTGGACTTGGTGTTCGATGCATTGAGTCTTCGAGCTTTGGCATGATGAGCTCAAATCTATCCGGGTGCCGTCACAGTGAAAGTATTTGTAAGTAGCCGGAGGTCGGCTGCAAGCAGGCAAGGTGTTTCGGTTCTGGAGCTGCAGTCTTGGATGTTGAAGCGGCTCATGGGGGGCTCGATTTTTCAAGCAGGGTCGGTTTTTGGGCAAGGTTGACCGAAATTTCGGATATCTTCAGAGTTCCCGTGCGTGTGCCGGACGCAGGACATGTCTTGCTGTTTTCACTCGGCACTGAGGCTTACGAGTTTGGCGTAATGATACCAGGAAGCAGCAGTGCTCATAAGCAAAGCCCATAAAACTAGCATCAGCATTCTGCTTATCGTCATGGGTTGAGGGCGAAGGCATCACGTTTGAGTAAGTGTCATGACAACACAGTAGCAATGCTCGCGCTAGCAGTAGCAATGGTGCGAGTGACAGCAGAATCTAATCCCAAAGCCTTAAAAGCACGAACGCTCTGCACCCTAAAGCCATACATGTAAGTCGTAGATTCTGGATCCGTCCATGAATCCTGTCAGGAGCTGGGCAGCGAGAATCCCATGGAAGTGCTTTGCAGGGTTGGCACTCGTGCGAAAGTCATGCAGGCCACGGGATCCAAGCTTTCATGTTTGAGGGTTTCGGGTTAAGGGGTTTGACTTGCAGGCTGCCAAGACGCTTTGGGGTTTTGGCTACTTTTCGTTCCGATTTCCCTAGCTTAAATTGGAATTGACAGCAGGGTATATCCTGAGCAAGTCGAAGATGCCCATCCGCTCAAGTGGTGCTGCTGTTGGCATGACTTTGCTATTGCAATGGTCAAAGTTTTCTTCTTGCTGCTACCTCTCTCGTCAAGCCAGCGTCCTTGAGCATAGCCGGCTCAGGCAATGCCCGTCGTGTCTCAGTCGGGCCAACAGGCTGGGGCCAGGCTAAGGGTTGTGCTGGTAAGTTGATGTTTGTCTGCCAGGGGTCATCATTATTGTTATAATTACTATTATCATTATAAATTATGAGTATGATTATTCTTCTTCTTATTCTTCATCTTTTTTCTGTTATCTGTCAGAGGTCCTGATAGGATGGGTAGCAGCATGGTGCCAGGTGGGCTTGCAGATGCTAGTCAACGGCTTTGCGCTCAGATTGCCGGGACGATGCCGCCGGTTTGCTTTGCTTCGGGTTTGCTAAACCCTAAACCCTCTAATCCCTAATCCCTAAACCCTAAGCCCTAAAGCATGTTAAAACGGCTCCAGCTTTTGTCTGTGCCGTTGCAGGATGAGGGTTGGAAACCAAGACGTCCTATGAAGTGTCGGAGATCTGCTAGATCCTGGCTCTCCAAAGCAGACATCCTGGAGCCATGAGTTCTGAAGGTATCGACATCGTTCGCATGGAGGAGGTTCTTCAAAAGGGTCCACCCCTGCAGGCAAAGGGGTGGCGAGGAATTCTGTTGGATAGGGGGCAATAAGTTGCAGCTAATATAGCTTTCACTCCTGAACCCGGCACTGTCCTGAAGCAGCTCGTGTTCCTGGCTGCTGGTGCGCGCAGGATAGTACGCGGTTTCACGTGTATGGTGGCATGATCTCCCTAGCCCCAGCCCTTGTATGTAAGGGTTGCTGTCCCCCGTTAGCTGCCAGGTCAAGATCTCACAGGTGAAGTACGAAAACGAAGATCCTCCGGACATGCAGAGAAGAGCAATTCGATTCAGGTTTCGATTCGTTGGGGCATTCTAGAAGCGATGCTTTCGGGGGCGGTGGCTGGCATGTCTTGCGACTCCAAGACATCCCTGAGGCTAGTCACTCGCAGCTGGCGAGTGAACTTCTACCAAGAAATGCTGCCTTTGCTCCGAAGGACGACATGCTCAAGGCCACCATGAACGAGACAATGCAGACCATCAAGGCTGAGAATCCCTGCTGCTCGTATTTCGGGTGTGGTGAGGGCGATGATGATTAGAAGCAATGTTCCTTCAAGTCTTATGAGACTATGAAATGCTCCTATTGCAGCTATCATATGGCGGATTTATCTAGTCGGACTTCTGGAAGCCCCTCTTGTTTCTTGCCTTGAACTTCGGACGATTCATATCATCAGTTTCGTTGCTGCTCTTGTCGAAGATGCCCGGAGAAGTTTCCCCCAAAGAAAAGCGCAGAACTTCAGAGCCTCCCTTTGAATTCCGGAGCTGTCGATTCCGCTGACGGAGCCTGCAGGACTTCCCGAGCCGCCCTTTTTGCACTCCTTGGCTGTCCCTTCTGGTTTGGCGCAACTGAAGAAGCCCTCACATCAGCAGCATAGGGTTGCATACAGACCCTGCATACAAGGATCTTTCATATACAAGAGGTCTTCTGAAACTCTGAAATCTGAAACTCCTCCCTGTCATCAGCACCATGTGTTTGTGTGTTTGTGCGCGGTCAGGAGATCATGAAGGTTAACCCAGGTTTCCGCCAATGGCTCAGTCACGACCAGTCTACGACATTGCTGCATTGGTGGCTACGATCCAGTCGCGCAATTCCCTTTCAGAAAGTAAGCTTCTGTCTTGGGCCACTTCCAGAAACTGTTTGGACAACCGTAGCACTCACTGACTGATGTTATGAAAACAAGCAACAACAGGCAACGACAAAAATGCGTTTACGTGAGAGCTCCGCAGCTTACGGCAGCATCCCAACTGTGTCCATGTGGCGTCAGTCAAAGTACAGTGAAAGTGGCGCGTGGTGCCCTGACATCCATTCGATTCAATGCAATGATGGTCGCCCTTGCCAAGGCGAATATGCATCGCTCATAAACCAGAGCTACTACGATCGCGTGGAGAAGATGAAAGCTCACGTGGTGGCGCCCCTTGGCCTGCATGAGGCATTAGACCACATGGGGGGCAGCGGCAGAGCGGCAAATGCTACTGGAACGCTCATCTGAGCGGTTGCTCGGCCAGGATCATATGTCTCCACGTGCATTAATCGAACCTGCATCTGCAAGGCGTGCTAGGTTACTGTTAAGGGTCAGGGTGCCGCAGCTCCAACAGCTCCAACCATCACAAGCAGACCGGACGAACGTCTGCGAGAAAAAGTGCGACCGGTTGCATTCCAAATTCTTCTTTCAGCCGTACAAGAGGGCTTGGACGTCAAAGATATGTGCTGACGACAGTCAGCAGTGGTTGCTATAGAATGCCGCCACCGAGCTTTTCCTCCTTGACTGCATCCATCAGGCGGAACGAGCCAAACCCCATCCCGACGCCCTGAAACCCAAATTCTGATCTCAAAATTGCTTACCTGCATTCTGATCTTAGGCACTTCGCAGCCGCCCTCACTTCGGCGGACGGCATAGATCTCCAGAAGGCTCGTGAGTGCTTCGCGGCGTGTAGGGTTTCTGGGAACTTGCTACACACGTTCTTTCTCTCGTGGCGCATGCAGAATTCGCTCCGAATGGTTTGACCGCAGGGCACCCCAGCCAATCAATTCAACGCTGTCTCAAGTATCTGTGAGCTTTCTCTCGCATCTCGCAGGTCCTGGAAGCCACGAATGCCCAAGACAAGAGCAGGCCAAGGGCATGCTTTGAGGGGGAAGCAGGAAGACTGGAGTTTCTCGCGGTGCTGTCTGGATTCGAGGCTCTCCCGAAGGATCCTGTCAGGTTTGGGCGTGCTACGATTCCGCGACTGTCATGTTGACTACAGTGGTCTGCTTTTTCAATTTCTTCCATGCGCATGGCCTTGATGCGCGATCGCTTGGGTCCAAGTCTTGGGCTTGGAGGCTCGCCTTGGAGCTTGTGAAGAAGGAGTTGGAGCCGCTCAAGCCAGCTTATGATGGGCATATTTGGCGTTGTGTCTAGATTTCAAGGTAGGCACCAGACCTGACTTGATCGTTTTCATCTTCTCTTGCATCGGACTTGTTCGTGTCCGAAGTTGAGGCAGCTGGGTTGTATGGAGGGCCTGCCGACAGCATCTTTGTTTGTTTCGATCCTCGAAAACCAGCAACTGGCCAGCGAGTGATCGGGATGCCTGGGTGCCTTTGAGCTCACGAAAGGTTCGCCATGTTGAGCTGGGGCCAAGACGATGTGAGCCAGTCGCATCTCTGTCGCCCGAGGCTGTCGAAGCTTCAACAGAAGATCGCATCACAGATCGAGGTGCACATGGAGTTGGTGCTGTCTGAGAGCCCATGTCCTACATGGTCACACACTACGACAGGTTGTGCATGTCATGCACTTGAGATATGCCGAACAAACTACCCGTAAAGTTTTTGTGAGCAACCGCAGAAAAGCAATAAACCACAGAATGGCAGGACAAGATGAACAAGCACCAGCGGGAGTTCATGCTGCGCGAGCAGCTCAAGTCCATCAAGCAACTTTCTGGCATTCAGCAGCTTCGAAGTGATGGTGCCGCAAATTGTACATGTATTTGGTTGCTCAAGACAGGCTCCGGAAGCTGCGTGCATAAGTAGTGGTGCGTAAATGCCCACGAGTTGAGCTGCAGCGCCTCTCAAAGCAGCTTGGGCAAGTAGACAACAGTAAACTGTTCAGGAAAGAGCTGGGCATTGACAAGGATGATGGATCCGCCACATGGCTCGTTCAGGTTCTAGCTGCATCCTGTCCTGAGTTTACCAAGGATTCAATCGAAAACAGTTGACGAGGAAATTCTCAAGCTGATCCCCCCCAAACCAAAGCCTTGAAACCTGTAAACCCTGAACCCCCCAACCTTAAAATCCCTGTGCAAGGATGCACTCCTGCAGAAGTTCAAGCAACGCCTCGAGGAAAAGACGGTGCCCAAGGAGGTCAAGGAGGCCTCTTGATAGTACATTTTGTTCTACTCAGATATATTCTGTCCTAGCCTATTCAGTTCTACTCTATTCCGTCGTATCCCGTTACAAGTTATGTGATGTCATTTCGTGATAAGATGCAATGTTGTGTCATGTTGTGTGATCTTATGTCTGCTTGATTCGGTTGCATTCTAATCCATTCTATGCTGTTCCGTTTTATTCTGTTATATGGTGTAAGCAATTTATGTTGTTATGCTAGGTTGTATTATATTATAACATACCTGGTCTGTTTTATATTATTGTTTTATATTGTATATTTCCCATATTGTATTGGATTTTTTGTTGCATTAGGTTGTCCTTGTTAAATCCTGCTATACTTCTATGTCATGTTACATTGTGTTACATTCTGTCATATTAAGTGCTATCGCAATTTGTGTGTTTGTTTAGTACGCTACATTAAACTACAATCTCTCACATTATGTTCTTATATTTTATCTTGAACTGCACGAAACCACGTTACATCACACCAACTTAAACTATGCTGTACTATATCATTATGTACGCAATAGTTTGTTATGTGTTTCGTATCATATATATATATACATACACACATACACATCTTTACTATGTTTCAAAACACATAGATAATATTGTATGTATCTATATATGGTACATAACATGTTAGGGTTAATAGTCTGTAAAACTGTACATTTTTTCATATTCGTGTTATACTTTATTGCTGCCCCGNNCCCCCCCCCCCCCCCCCCCCAATTACCAATAGATTCCCATAGTTTCCTGCTGCAGGTACCGTCTCTTGGATTTCGGGGTTGCCGGGGATGGGTTTAGGACCGCAGCCTGACCAGCACCGCGAGCGTAAACCAGAGCCGTCCTGACCACGTTGACCAACGGTTTAGGGTTTAGGCTTTAGG